CACTCCACTCCGTCACTTTTTCTGTCTTCCAAGTGTCATCTGGTCTGTTACAAGTCATGTAATTCTTCTTCCCTGTGTTTTTGCAAGTCGTGGCTTTTGTGTGCTCCCCCCCCCCCCTCTTTCTCCCGCCCCAAAACAACAACAACAACAAACACTGGGGTGGAGAGTTGTGAAGGGAGAATCACCAGTGATCTCCCTTTTTTTTCCGGGTGCTTCCCGACTTCCTCGCCGCCTTCTCTTCCCCCGTCAGACGAGCCGCATCCATCCGTTCATCCATCCGTTATTGACATCCATCCATCCGCGACGACACGGGACTGGAATCATCTAAATCTGGATTACTTGAAGAAGCGATGGTGATTTGAAGGGGGGCCGTCAAAAGCTCTGTCGCAGGTGCTCTGGGTGGAGACGCTTACGGGGGGAGGGGAGGGGGGGGGGGGGGAGAGACTCGGACATCCGGCTTCAGTGATTAACCGAAGCTCGCCTCGGACGCTCGCCACCTCTTCCTGTTCCACGCACGCACACACGCATCAGTTACAGGCATGAACACTGACTGGTGTGGTCGCACGCAGGTACAGATGTAGCAGTGTGAGCAAGTCGAATACAAAACACACACACACACACACACACACACACACACACACACACACACACACGCGCGCAGCTTGATGTCTTGCCTCGCTGTGAACAAAAAAAACACAATCCGAACTGGACTCTTGTTCTGTCGTCACGCTTCCTACAGCCGACCGTGCAGACGATTTCAATCTTTGTCCAGCTCGATGATATCAAACAGAAGAGTGACTCTTTGTTCCTCCACTAATGTAAATGTGAATGTGACAGATGGAGAGAGACGATCTCAGCTCCCTGCTACTTGTTTTATTGTTTATAGAACAGATTATATATTTGCCTTACAAGTGAACGTACTCTTTTACGTTTTCTTTTCTTTTCTTTTTTTTCTCTTTAATGATCTCATGATTATCTTTTAATGCTTTATAATTTCAATTTGCAGTGTTTCTAGCGTTGTTATGATGGGGGCTGGGTTTGTGTCGGGCTGTTTTAAGAACATCTGGATCTTTCAGAAACACAAAAGGGAAAATTGGCATCAGGACGTCGATGGCTATTCAGTGTAAACACTAAATCTGTGAGCTTAAGAGTGTTTCAGATTGCAATCAAATTATTTTCTTTTAGTTACGATGTTTTTCGCCAAAATTAAATTTCCAGCAACAAACTAATTATTAAATCTTCAGCCTCAGAACTTTGTTTGCAAAGTCTAAAAACTCATAGAAGTTGTTTGGTTTTGGAGTTAGAATTTAAGAAGGAAGTTCAGAAAACTATTAAAAAATAAATTCTTGAGTCTTAATACACATCTGGATCTCCAGATGTTTAGTGAAATGACCCACTTCAATGTTTCCTTTGGCTCCCGATTGATGAATCACTATAATCGATCTCTTTCCCACGAGTTAAAAAGTTTAAATGCATTTGAGGAACGAAGAGTTTAGAAAGACGCCTGACATTTTGTTTTAGATCAAGCTGTATCGGACGTCTTGGTCCTTTTTGTAATCGTCCTTCAGCCTCATTGGCTGATGTTCCAGCAGAGTCCGGGTTCAGTGTTTCACCTTCTTCCTCTAAATCCACAATTGTTGGACACATGAAAATGCAAAGCTGTACCTGTTTTTTTTTCTTTTACGTTTTCTATTTTTCTTTTAATGTTTCGTTGCGTTATCTTCAGGGAGATTTGGATCCGTTTCAGAGGCTCACAGTTGATGCATCGACGTGTTTACTGGAGGTTTAAAGACATTAAAAAAAAAAAGAGGAAACCTTGTTTCCCAAAACCAGCGGAGCCTTTGAATGGGGGGGGGTGGGGGGGGGGGGGGGGGTGTGTGTGTGTGTGTGTGTGTGTGTGTGTGTGTGTGTGTGTGTGTGTGTGTGTGTGTGTGTGTGTGTGTGTGTGTGGGGGGGGGACATGACAGTCTGCCACTAGGAGGGGTCACATGACAGTCACATGATCCCTCCCTCTGACGTGGTCGTCGCCTTTCACCGGACAATTGGAGGGGATTCAGGTGCTTTGGGAATTTTCGGCCTTCTCTTGTCAGCACAGAACTGCTGCTAGCTGTCCAGACAAACTCTAGGGGGCGCCGCACCTCCGCTCGTCACTTTCACACGGACAAGGCCAGCGGGCCGGACACTGAGGAGATGAAGGACGTAGGAGGGGAGGAGGAAGGATACGAGAGAGAGAGAGAGACCAACTGGGCTTTGTGATGTTGCTCAGAGGAATATGGCTGGTTTTGGATGTCTGGAGACTGAAAAAAAAGGACAAAATTCCATAAAGCCATATGAATAAGAAATAACTGTATATGAACCATTAAGATAGTTCATTGCATTACTATATCCTAGGCTTGTCATGAGGAAAAAAAGATGAAAAAAAGGAACAAAAAAAATATATAAAATGTAAAATACTTGAATAAGATCTTGTATTATAACATTTAATATTCATAATATCTGCTTTGTAGGCTGATGTGATTCGCTATTAGTGTTATTTGTAATTTGTAGTAATTATGCTTTTCCTTAATAAAGAAAAAAAAACACAAAACGGACAAAAAAACCTCAAATACTGTCTTCTGAGTGGTTATTTCTGTGTGTGTGTGTGTGTGTGTGTGTGTGTGTGTGTGTGAGTGAGAGAGTGAATGAACTTTGGTAGTTTCACACCAGATCTCTTGTTTCTTTAGCGTCAACATGTTTGGAGCAGTTTCATTAGTTTTTGTTTTGATGTTTTAAAGTTTAGTCCAGTTGAAATATTGACGATGTATCGATCACAGAAGATCTCTTTCAACCTTCACGTCTCTGACAACTCTTAGAGGCCTCCTGAGTTACAGACAGACTGAGGTTAAAGGTCAGGGGTCACGGGCCGGTGAGCCAGGATATTTAGTTGTAATTACTATACTTTTTTTTTTTTTAAACATTTTTACACCTACAATACCAATACTATGACTTATCACTTTTTTGACAGAAAATAAATATGTTAGACATTTCATTATCTTTGTCAACATTTCATTTATTCCCAACGGTAAACAAATGTCTTTGTTCTCAGTCCATGAGATGCTTTTTAATCCCTTAAGACAATGAATTCCGTGTTTTACAGTCCTGCTGCCGCTGCTTTAACAAAACAACTCTACATTTCCATACTGCATGTGTTCTCTGCTAGTTTGCAGCTGTCCAAACCAAAAAGGACCTGAGCGCAGTGCATCATTTCATAATAGTGTATGTGATATGACCTTTCTGTCCAAAGCATAACATTGATTGCACATATGTGCAGTATTTCAGAGTTTATACACTGAACATGTTTTTAGTTTTTATTGTTAACGGGGAGGAACATTCCCAGATCCCGCCTGGTGAGATCCTCTGGGCCTGGCTGTCTTCTTCAGGCTCAACCAGTGTATGTGTGGCTGAGGCAATCTCATAATCCGGTACGACATCTCCATCATACGCCACAAAGTACCCCCCCCCCCCCCCCCCCCCCCCCCCTTCTACCTTTTTTTATCTCTTAATGAATTTATCACACC